GCCCCGGCACGGGGGAGCGAGGAGGAGAGGAGCCGTGCGGGGTGGCACAGCTGCTCCTCGCCACCCCGTCCTCCGCCCGTCTTCACAGTGCATCATCTGGCTCCGTCTGCCATTTCATGTGACCTTTCTGTGTAATTTCTATTAACGAGACATCTAGTAGATGTATTCTTTCTGTTGAAGGTTTTATGTTTAGATAGACTGTCCTGATGAGACCCAGAGGCGAGGCGAAGATAGTGTGCTGTGCCTGCTCCGTGGCGCAGCTGTCAGTCCAGCTAGATCTCAGTGTATCATTATTTCACAGGATCAGAGAGATCAAAGTTACTCAACTGTGAAAACCACATCCGCAGCCGTGACGGTCAATAACCTGAAGCCTGGCACCCTCTATATTTTCCAAATCCGGACATCTTCCTCGCCAGACTATGGAAACCACAGCCCTAGTATTGAAGTGGAGACGCTGGCAGAGTGTAAGTGTTGGCAAGGCTCATCGTCCCTTACACATGCAGGCGTGAAGCATGAGCTGTATCGTGGGGATGCTGCTGCTTGCTGCTCCTGCCCCAGATGCTTTTGGCTCTGTGGAGCAGCATCTGTTCCTCTGATTCTGCTGCTCTGGGTCTAAAAGCAGGTGCTTCCCAGGGCTTGCTGTTAATTGCATTTTCTTATTTGGTTTTAACAAGGTTGCTGCTGCTGGCCTGCCTGTCCTGGAGGTGTCTGACCTCGCTCTTGGTGCTCGTCAACGAGGGCAGCCAGTCTCTGGCTCCTCTCTGGTGTAGAGGCTGGGGACAGAGTCTCTTCTCTTTGAGTGAGATTGCCCCAGAAAGGGCTTAGCAGAGCCGGAGTGACTGCGGGGCTGTTTTGCCTTGGTGCGATGTTGGTGCTGCAACAGATCTCACCAGGTCCCTTCCGTGGGGTCACCAAACAACGCTGGGAGAGAGCAAGTGTTGGTCCCTGCCGGTGTCACTGCTGAGGGCACGGTCCTGCCCAGGTCTGCACAGACAGGGTGGCCGATGCGTGGGCTGCAGCAGAGGAGGCAAGGCCAGCCTGGAGATCCAGCTGGCCTTGGATGTGTGCCCCAGACAGGAGATGACTGCTTACCCCCACTGCCGTCCTGGCTCATGAGACGCTTGGCTTGTTAGCCGTTTGGCTGAATAAAGTCAGCCAGTATCAGTGTTAGTTGCTGGGGTTTTTCCTTTTCACAGTTTCCATTCATAACTATAGTCCAGAAGCATCTTATTTTACTGACTGAAAGAGGGCTTGGAGAGATGGTAGGGCTTCGGCTTAATAACCCACCCTGGCTAGAAATGAAAGCCCTGAGGTGGCTGGCTCAGTATGATTCTCGCAGATTGTGTTTAACAGGGCTTTAAATTGCATCCGTTTGCCACACAGAAGACATTTTCAGAATGAATTGAAGCCAAAAAAAATTTTATATAGTACGTGGCTTTCTAATACCCCTGCTTGCAAAAGGAGGAAGGGAAGGGATTAATCTGATGAAGGAATACTGTTTGTAAGCCGTACATTTCAGTATGTCCCTCCGATAAACAGGAACCTGTCCTCAGTGCTGTCAAAACCAGGAGCCTGGTGTGACAGCGCTGGGGTTGCTCCATCCGTCCCTGCAGTGTTGCCCTGCGTGTTGGTCTGATTGCACCAGCTCAAGCTCTTACAACTGAACCAGGATGTGAATTGTTGTGAGGATGGTGAAAAGCGGCCTGGCACTGTGGGTGGATTGCCCTGCAGCCTTGCTGGAGGATGCAGGCTGGCGCTGGAGGAGCGGCCAGGGCTGCCCCGTGCCTTGGACCTGCCCCAGGGCGCGTTGCCAACCAGCTCTGCTTCCCTCCCGCAGTGACAGTGGCCTCCAGCGAGCAGAACCCCGTCCTCATCATCGCGGTGGTGGCCATCGCTGGGCTGATGGTGCTGGTGTCCATGGTGATCGGTGTGATGGTCTGGAGGAGGTGAGCGGAGCTGCGGCTCAGCTGGGGCACGGGCAGAGGAGGTTTGGGGCAGGGGAGGAGAGCTGAAGCGGACCCCCACGGCAGGGGCTCCCAGCAGCACGGGGCAGCTGGCTCTGAGCTGGGAGCTGGCTTGAACAGGCTGCTGGCTCCCGGGGCTGGGGTGCTCCTGAGCACTGCGACCTCAGGCTGTTGCACCCAGCGGGAGGCTGCTGCCCAGGTAATGGTGTGCATCTTCACTCTTGTTGCAGGCAGTGTGGGTACAGCAAAGCCAGCCAGGACGGGGATGAGGAGCTGTACTTCCACTGTAAGTGAAGCCTGGCCACTGTGTGGGGATGCCGGTATTTGTTGCTATTAATAACCCAGCTCCCAGCAAAGCAGCCCTGAATCCTTGCTTCTGAACTGTTGTCATCCTGCATTATCCCAGAGCAGTGGCTCAGCGCAGTCAGGCTCTCTGGGGACAGCGGGCTTGACAGCTTCATAAGCCAGTGTCCGTCCTTCCCATACGCAGGTCACTGCCGTGCCAGAGGAAATGGGAATGCTTTCAGCTTTCCACGGGGTGTATGAATTATTCCGTCAGCTTTTCACAAATGGCTACGTGAGAATACAGCTTTGTTTTCTGGGGCTACTCTTGATTACTGAGCAGCAATAATTTTGCAGACAACAGTTGTCAACAGAAATTCAGATGTCAGGATTGATGAGTTCATTTGATTCCTGGCATATGCCTGTGAAGCACACACATGCTCTTCTGCTCCCCGAAGCATGTCAGAAGCAGCAGAGCCTTCGTGCTTCTCAGATGCAGCTTGGCCATTTCAGCTGGCTTTGAAGGGCCTCGTGCCTTGACAAAGGTTTTCCGTGCAGGAGGAGGGAGCGCAGCAGCCGCCCCGTCCCGGGAAGGCGAATGGAGCCGGGGTGGAAGGGAAGCCTGGCGTGGTGTGACCCCTTCCCGGAGAGGAGGAGACGCAGCAGTGCTCTAGCAGGGGCCCGGCCAGCGGCAGAGCTGATGTGTTTCGGCTGTCTGTTTTCAGGAGATGTGACTTAGGGTTTTGAAGAGGCCCCAGCAAGCAGGCGGCTGTTTCCCCCCGGAGTTCTGCAGGGCTGGGGTTGCTGTGCGCGGTGCTGCCGGGTGTGCTGCCAGGCAGGGCTGCTGGCTGTGCGGCAGATGGGGGCTGGCTGTGGGAGGAATTCTGCTGCCCATGCTGCTAATCAAGGGGACCTGGAACATGGCTGTTGCTCATTACTATAATTATCTCTCCTGGAGGTCTTGGGAACAGAGATGATTTGGATACTTGAGGATTAGCAAGGGTGGCAGATAGGCTCCGTCTGGGAGGGAGCTGCACTAGGGTGAAGGAGCCGCTCTGCTTTAACCCGGGGGTTGCGGCAGTGGAGCAGAGCGATTCGGTTCATGTAATCCTGCAAGAAATTTCCTAGCAACCTGAAAGCTGTGTCTTTTGCTTTGCTTATAAAAAGGTGGCAAGGTAGTCCTGCCAGCAGACCTGGAGATGGATAACCTGCGAGAGCGTTTCCGGGGGCAGGCGGGCAGGAGCTCTGCTGAGCTTTTCTCACATGCCCTTTGTGCGTTTCCTGCTCTCCTGCAGTTAAAGTGCCAACCAGGAGGACGTACATCGACCCTGACACTTGCGAAGACCCTATGCAGGCCGTGCACCTCTTTGCCAAAGAGCTGGATAACGCTAGCGTTAAAATTGAGAGGATCATTGGGACAGGCAAGTTCCTTCTCGCCAGCCCCTCTGCTGCAGTGGCTGTGCCGTGGGGCAGTGGCCGTGCCGTGGGCTGTACGTGCCACGGCCGGAGCGCTCCCCTCCTGCCCTGCCACCGTCAGCGCCGCACGGCTTTGCTCTTGCTCTTGTCTCGGGGGGGTGCGTGCTTGTGGTGGGGAGACGGGAGTGGGGCTGGTGAGTATTTTGTTGGGGAGCTTGATTTCGCATTCCCGTTTGTTTTTCTGAGGCAGTAAGTACAACCCAGCCGAGTGCGGTGGGGACCGGAAAGCATCAGCAGTTATCTGCTTCGGGGCAGTTTGGCAGCAACATGAAAACTGTTTAGAAATATGTGAACTTAACGATTTATTGATTTTCATCAACTTCACTGCCTGCAACTTAAAAGCAAATTAAAATCCACTCAATGGGCCCTAGAGCCTTAATCACTAATATGTGCCAGAACATGGGAAACACGATTGTTCTTTGTAGTTTCTTTTCCTAAGGATAAATTCAGCTGTGGGAAGGGAAGAGGAAAGGGCTTGCCCACCAGCTTAAGGGACAGTGTTGAATGGAAGAGGACACTGAGGAGAAGAGGAGATTATCTTTGTGGTTGCTGAGTGGAGGAGCTGAGGCTAATCCCACATACCTTTCAGAAGCCAATTGGTGTTTCAAAAATCAAGAAAGAAATCAGTCAGGAAGACAGTTAAATATAAGGAATTTGGGAATGCATTTGTCTCACTGCTGACCTAACAAGTACCTGGCTTTCAAATCAATAAAGCTTTTTATAGCTACACATTTTTGCTGTAAAGCCAATATTGGCCTTTTATGTTATGAATTTGGTAGCTCCTGTTGTCAAGCACGTGGCTGTGCAGAGTGGGATGCTCTGCCTCAACGGCTGCAGAAACCCTCCTGGCCGTGCCGCGCTCTGTTCCACGAGGAGCAGACCTTCACGTGCTGAGCTGCGAGGCAGAAAGGGCCAGGCCGGGGACCATGGACTCGGCGGCCAGGGGTTAATCTTCTCTTCATGGGAAAAAGCGCAATATGCACTTGAGCAGAGAGTGGCTTAGAGGTGTAGGAAGAAGAGGAAGAAATTGTGTTGTGTTTTTAGTATCACATGCTGATAACTTGTGTGAAGGGTTGCGTGTTCAACAAAGATGGGGGAGGATGGTAAAACAGAAGACAGACTCTGCGGGGGAAACCTGCAGCCATGCAGGGCTCGTGTTTCTGAGTTTATGGATTGGCAAATCCTCTGGTTAGCGATGGGAAAGTCTTGCTTGTCTACACGGCAAGACACATCACTTGTGCTACAGAAGTGCACTTTGGGGTCCCAAAGCAAAAAAAATATCCCCAAAAGGGAAGCACATTCGCAGAAGAGGGCTGCTGCCCTTTGCTTTGTATCAGGGGTGTGTGTGTGTGTGTGTATATATATATAGATAGATAGGTATGAAACCTGTCTTCGTAGTGCGTTGCAGCAGCTCAGTAAAGCATTGTCCTTACACAGCGATACTGAGAGCTGTGAGGGAGCCATGAAGGTGGCTGGCCGGTAGCTGGTTCTCTCATGGTCTGGAGTGGCAGAGGGGTGTGTGGCAGCGCACCAAGGAGCGATGCGAAAGCGGTTGCAGGGGTCCTTGGGAAGGTGCAGTGCCGAGCAGGGGCTGCGAGAGAAGTCCCGCCATGGCTGTTGAACTCCTCTCTCTGCTGCGCAGGGGAGTTTGGGGAAATCTGCCGGGGATGCCTGAAGCTGCCCAGCAAGAGAGAGCTGCCAGTTGCCATCCAGACGCTGCGGGCAGGGTGCTCGGAGAAGCAGCAGTGCTTGTTCCTGGCGGAGGCGTGCACCATGGGCCAGTTCGACCACTCCAACGTCATCCGCCTGGAGGGGGTCATCACCAGAGGTGAGGGGGTCCCGGGCTGTACAGCACAGCAAGGTGCTTGCGCCGTTGGTCCGGGGTGATGACCTGGTGCTGGAGGTGCAGTACTGTTGGCTCTCTGCAAATCAGGTGTTTCCTCATGTGTTAGCTATTTTAGCATTCTGATGACTAATAAAATGCTTACAGCTAGTTTAATAAATCCAGGTAGCAGGACTGGCTTAGCAGCAAAACTGTGCACTCTTAATAAAAGCAAATTGAAGTGGGGTTCTGTCAGTAAAACAGATGACTCTCTCTGTTCCCAGCTCTCATGGGAGTGTGTGTGCTGAACTAGTCTGCGGATGCTGTAGTTAAATAGATATTCATGTAAATCCAAAGAAACGTGAGCACGTGTGCTGATTTTAACTAGCCTTTTCATTAGGTAAGGAGGTATTTTTGTCCTGAGTCTTGGGCTGAGCTGGTTGCTTTTGCTTTCACTGAGTAGTGCTGTCCTCCTTTGTGAAGTGGTTCAGTGTCCTGATTAAAAGAGCATCTGATATTGGGATCCAGTGGATTCCCATCTGTGAGCCATAGGAAAGCCTCAGACCCACTGCTCATTGCAAACTGTCTGAGACAAATTCCTTGTCCTGACTGCGCTGGAGGTTAGCGCCCGGGTCTCTAGTGCCTGCAGGTTAGAGCTGCCTCAGCAGTGGGCAGGGCTCACGCAGTGCTCCTTCTCTGTCTGTGCAGGGACTACCATGATGATCGTGATGGAGTACATGGGCAACGGCCTGCTGGACACTTTTCTGAGGGTGAGTGCGGTGGGAGCCGGTGGTAACTGCGGGGTCTGCCGCCCGCTCGGGCTCTGCTGGCAGTGCCGCTTGAACAGGGCATTACTCACCTTTGGCTTTTCCTCCGCTTTTTTACAGAAGCATGAGGGACAGTTCACGGCCACCCAGCTCGTTTGCATGTTGCAGGGGATTGCCTCTGGCATGAAGTACCTGGCAGAGATGGGTTACATACATAAAAGCCTTGCTGCCCATAAAGTCCTTGTGAACAGCAGCCTGGCTTGCAAAATAACTGGTTTCAGACGTCCGCAAGAAGATAAGATGGAGACCATCTTCTCCACCATGGTAAGCCGTATTTCCAGATGTCATTGTCAACGTTCCCCGAAAGCAAAATGCTGACCACAAAACCTCGGCAGAGGTGGATCTGCCTGGCTGCAATGCATGGCCATGGCCAGGAGCACTTGGGCTGGGGCCTGGTGTCACTGGAGAGCTTTGCGTCCTGCTCTGAATGCTGAGTAAGGATCAAATCCAAAGTCAGCCGGCTTCCACAGGCGGAGTTAATAAGACACATAGCAATCCTACTCCGGAACCAGTATTTTTCCTAGGCTCCCATTTCCTTCCTCATGTAAGAATGCAGACTCTGCATCTTAAAGTTTCTTTTTGCACTAGAAATCCGATGCGTTTAGCCAGGGAGCAGCACAGCAGCCGTCCAGCACGGCTCGGGCTCTGGCCGCAGCCCTGCCGCACGTCTGCACAACCCGGCAGAGGGGCGGGAGGGGCCGGGGGCACCCCGTGAGCCTCGAGGCCCCAGAGCCCCTCGCTGGGGCCCGCTCGCCCTCCCACATCTTTCATGCGCTGCTTCGGCGCCTTTCACTTGGGGTGTGGCAAAGGTTTTGTCACCGCAGAGCAGTGAGATGTATTTCCTTTGGTACCCCGCGGACGCCCTGCGTCAGCTGGGTCTGTTAGCGTATCACATTAAGCGGCATTAATATTTTAAAGAGCACAGATTCCTCAGTCAGGTGAGCGCGGATTGTTTGCAGGGAGCGCTGGCAGCGCTGAGGAGGCGGCAGCTGATGTGTGCTGCCAGCAGGGAGCCGGTGCCCGTGTCCCCGTGCAGGGTACGGGCGTCACAGCGGTCGTTTGCCAGTTCTGAGCAGGCTGGTGGCGGAAAGGAGAACTTTTGGAAGACTTTTCCAGCCATTATCACGAGCTGCAGCGAGGCACACTTGGTGCGCTCCGCCGGCAGAGCATCCCGAAGAGTCCCTGGCAAAGTGCGACCGTGCCGGACATGGCGAGCGTGGCCGGCAGAGCCGTCGCTCAGCGGTGGCTGTCGTGCTGCAAAGCCCTTGAGCACCTGCCCTGTCGTGCTGCAAAGCCCTTGAGCAGCTTCCCCGGTGCTGGCTGCCGCTGGGACGGAGCAGCCCGCAGAGCCGGGGCTGAGAACCCGTCTCCCACCACGGGGCTGCGGCTTTGGGGTCAAGGTCTCCCCGTTGTTAATTATGATTAGCTGTGGTGGCTGTCACCTGCTTCCCCTTTTGCACACAGGGGGCTCTGCAGACACCGAGACGAGGATTGCTAATTACAGGAGAGCAAGCCGCGGTGGAGGGACTGTGTGTTTGCACTGCTCTGAAATGGTTTTCATTAAATATTAATGTATAAAATGCCATCAGCTCTTCCCAGAGACATTCTCCTCTCCCATTAATATTTTAGGACTTGCACTCCCATGTAGCATATTGTTGTGTGGCCGTTTTAAAACAAATTGAGGAAGAGGTTTTCTCTTCGTACTAACCCTGCACGTGGCACGCAGTCTTGCTCAGTGCCTGCCCTGCGATGCCAGGCAGGGCATGGCGAGCGACTGTCCGGGTACCGCATGCATCGGCTGCATCCCCCTGTGTGAGCGTGTCGTTTCTCCCCTTCTGCCTGTCCAGCGTGGGAAGAGCCTGGTGCTCTGGTCAGCCCCCGAAGCCATCCAGTATCATCACTTCAGTCCAGCCAGTGATGTGTGGAGCTTCGGCATCGTCATGTGGGAAGTCATGTCCTACGGCGAGAGACCCTACTGGGACATGTCCAACCAGGATGTGAGTACCCGGCAGCCCCGCGGTAGATGACGGCGTGGCCATTGCCGCTGGCGTGTAGGTGGCTCCATGGTGAATGGAGGAGATGCTGGTGCTCCCAGGAGGGTGTGAGGGGGGACGCTTGCCCCAGGGGCTTGTCTGCGATCTGTGTCACAGCGCCTGACCCCGTCCCCTCTCCCCTCCTCTGGTGCTGCAGGTGATGAAGGCTGTGGAGGATGGGTTCCGCCTGCCTGCCCCGGTGAACTGCCAGCCGCCCCTCCACCAGCTCATGCTCGACTGCTGGCAGAAGGACCGCAGCCAGAGACCCAAGTTCTCACACATCCACAACATCCTGAGCAAGATGGTGCAGAGTCCGGAGGCCCTGCTGTGCCCCAGCTCCACATGCACCAGGTGACCACCCTCATGCTTGCTGCCCGCTCTTTGCGGGCCAGTCCCACCGCGCGTGTGCGTGCCCTCCTCCCTCCTCACCGCCCCGCTTTGTCGGCAGGTCCCACAGCACCTCCATCCCCCTCACCGAGCGTACCTTCTCAGCCTTCCCGTCTTTCAGCTCTGTGGGCGAGTGGCTGGAAGCGATAGAAATGGGCAGGTACAAAGACAACTTCACCGCTGCAGGCTACTGCTACTTGGAGTCGGTGGCCAGGATGACAGCCCAGTAAGTGAACTGGTTTCCTGGGTATAACCTCGTGTTGCTGGGTGCAGCGTGAGCAAGCTCTGCTTTGCAGTTACAGTCAGGCGTCACTAAACAAGAGGACAGATCTTCCAAAACGTGTCTGTAGGAGCTCACTGGCGTGGGTTGGGCTGCGTGTGGTGTGCCTCTCAGTTGCTGGTTTTTGAAGCTGAGATTTAAACCTGTGGTTTCTGACAGTAGCGTTGCCTGTCCCTTCCAGGGAGCAGCACCAAATCGAATGCAATTTACTGATAAGTTGTTCCACAGGCAGTGCGGGGCAGGGCTGGGCGCTGGCTCGCGTTGCCCCCGGGTTCCTGGTGCGGGTCTGTGTTGCTTCGGCTGGGGCAACAGGCTGGGGATTTCTCGCTCTGGCAGGTCCACGGCAGCCTGATGGTCCAGACCTGCGCTGCCCTTGCCTGGGAGTGGTTGGTGTCCAAGCACTTTGCCGTTAGGGCTCGTTTTCCGTGGCTGATGCAAGGCTCGTTTTGCAGAGACGTCCTCAGCCTGGGGATCACGCTGGCGGAGCACCAGAAGACCATCCTGAGCGGGATCCAGACTCTCCGGGCCCAGGTGATCCAAATGCATGGCTGCGGCGTGCAGGTGTGAGCAGAGGTGCGGAGCAGGGACGTGGCGCACCCGGGAGGACACAGCCAGCCGGCCCCAAGCCGGGCCGACTCCGAAACCTCACGGTTTCAGGTGGGATGTAGGAACCACCGGGCTGCTGCCAAACAAGTCATTCCACGTGGCAAGAGAGCAGGGCTTCCCATCCCCTGTGCCAGGGAAGCCAAAGATTCCTGGGACGCGTGTGGTGTGCCTCGGTGGACCTGGCTCTTGCTAGCGCTGTTTTGTAAGAGGAGTCAAACTGTAATGATGCCATTTCATATGGTAATTAGGTTAACAGGGTGGATGGACATTTGTGCACTGTCTTAATCCACAGCTGACAGCATTTTTGTATCTAGCATCCTACTGGTGAAATCCGTGGGTATTTTTTATACAAGCCGACATGTTCTAGTAACCCCACAAGGAGCTTTTATTGCTTTTATTTTTAGAGACCAGAGCACAGCTCACCCACAGCGATCAACTTCTGGAAGGTGACTTTCCCCATCTGCTATGCGGGAAGAGTTGGTGAACAAAACCAAATATTCTCCACAAAAGTGCAGAGCAAATGGTGCTGAACGTTTCTAAGGCTCTCTTGACAGGACAATTTCAGGGGAAGAAATGAAAAGCTTTGATGAGGAGAGCCATAGCCAAGAGAGGGCAAGCAGTGGAGCCCTTGGGCTGCCCTGCTGATGCTCTCAGCCTTCGCTGCCTTTTGTGCAGGTCCTGCTCCCTCGTTTTGCTGCTGGAGCCCAGCGGTGGGGCAAGAACTTCCAGACCAGAGCAAGAGCAGGCAGCGCACTGCTGCCCGCACGCAGACTGAGCCCGCAGGCAGAGACCTGCCGCCCGCGCAGCACTGATGCTAAAGCATCTGTTGCTGCTTTGGCCTCTCTGCTATGCTTCATGCCTTGCAGTTTTGCAGGCAGAGCTTCCCGCACCTTGCCCGTGCTGGCCCCTTGGGCAGCTGTGATGGGCTCTGACTGCTGTCCCTAGGCTGCAGAGCGAAGCAGGCAGAGCATGGCTGCGTGCCCAGTCACGGGCTGACACCAGAGCCTGGGGACTCCCTGCTGTCAGCTGGGCTGGAGCACCCCGCTCAGCAGCGTCTGCACTGCCTTGGAGCAGGAGACGGACGAGTGCTCTTCCCTCTCTAGGTCTGGAAGCTTTTGCAGGGGAAAAGATTTTATGAACAGCACTAATTCAACCCAAAGCAGCAGAAAGGAACCATTCATCCAGAAATGGGATGGAAACCTGGAACTGGTTTGGAGTCAGAGGGACAGCGGACATGGCCGTGCTCTGGGTGGATGCTTCCCGTGCCCGGTCTGGCAGCGTGCCTTGGAAGGGCCACCTCGGCTGCGGTGAGTGTCCTTCCCCTCCTCCTCCGGCAGCCTGGCTGCCCTGGGCCGGTCGGGAGCAGTGAAGGGAGAGGCTGCTGGAGTGTCCTGCCTTGCACGCTGGCACTTCCCACTGACGCAGGCCTGATCCCTGACGGAAGGCACAAACAGCGTCTGCTTAATAGTACAAGTTTCCTTGAAGTTAGTTAATTAAATTGGTCTTTGCAGCCTTGTAGAGAGTTTTGTAGGCCTTTTATTATCATCTGTAAGTATTGCAAGTGAATTATTAATGATGAAAGGCAAAGATTTACAAAGGGAATGAATGTGCTGTGGGAGATGTTCACAGCGTGGCTGGAAATCCATTCGAGCCAGATCCTCCTGTCAGCCTGCTCCGAGGGAAGAAGACTCTAAGTGATGCTTGAGCGAGGGGCCCTGAGGAGCCTCTCGCGCGGCTGGCATGGCACCAGCCCTGCCCGGGCATCCTCCTGCTCTCCTGGTCGTGTGGCCAAGCAGAGCGGCACAGCTGTAGGTGCTGGTGGCTGTCCTGGCCCCCCTGCCAGAACACGTTGCTGCAGGGATCCAGGTTCTGCTTAGTAAAGCCTCAGCCATGGTGGTTCCTTTTCACTGGCGCTCGGCCGCTTGGCCAGGCTGGGTCCAGGGGTGCTCAAGACTGACAAGATTTCACTTTTTTCAGATATACTTTAGCTTGATTGCGTCGGAGATCAGAACTCTCTGCCTGAACTTCACTGGCCAGGGGTCTCAAGAAGGTGTCAGCTAAAGTTGATAATTGATTTTCTGCTATGTGCTGGCA